CACACACAGACACACACACAGACACACACACAGACACACACACAGACACACACACAGAGACACACACACACACATATATACGTATGTATGTGTGTGTGTGTGTGTGTGCATACTATATTTGTACATTGTGTACACTATACATTTACCCTCACTGTGTTTGTGTGTATACGTATATTCCATGTGTTGGGTGGAATGAGGGGCGGGCGACTCACATGGGCTTGCGTCCGGAGATGCGCGCGGCGGCGTCGAGTGCGTAGGCGGGCGCGAGGTGCAGCGCCACGTGGCAGGCGGCGTTCAGCAGCCGGTTGCTCTTGAAGCTGCCGCCGGGGTACCAGATGACGTCGTTGAACGGGATCTTGCGTACGAACTCGCGCCCGTACTCCTCGATCTGGCCCCACTTGAGCGGGTTCGTGCTGCCCGACGTGCAGTTGTACACCGCGATGCCGTTCGGCCTGCGAGCGAAAAATTGCGTTCATAATTCGCTCGGGTGCAGAAATGCTCTTCCAACACAAAATTGGTTCTCCGACAAGTAGAACCCACACTGCGCACAAATCACAACAACTCTAACAACACTGACAACTCTTAACAACATTAGAAATGCCAACGATAACTCAGCAGAACACCTATATTCCAGCAACACTGCAATAAATAAAATATTTTAATAGAAGCACACTTAGTGAATATTCCAATGAAATAGATTAGTAAATTCTCATGCACAATACAATACATTTACATATTAAGATTATAAAAAATGTTGTTCCGTATCGAAACACGTGAATAGCAAATATTGAACAGGGTCGGCCCCTTCCTTGGGGCTTTACTTTCGCTTGGCTTAAACTGTGCCGGATGCAGTGTCGTACTGAGCATGATAAGTCAATAGGTACGCGCAATATAAGAATAAGCAGAATAATTCAATCAAAAGTGAATGTAACAATTGGTGTAACATAGATTATGGAGATAGAAATAATCTAACTTCTTATGAAGTGTTACTAGTGGCGTACATTCTAGGTAAGCTGCAAAGGCCAAAGAATGCAAGAGAAGAAAAAAAATAATGGGAAGTAATTCGTAAATAGTGAATATTAATACGAAGAATACCACACTCCGCACACTCTTCATAAAAACAAATTTGCTGACTTGACGCTGACCATTCAGAGCAGACTAGTCCAAAAAAGGCTTCGCTGGATGATTGCGAAGACACTTCAATGAGTGGTGATGTCCGTGATATCGACAAGGGTCGATTATTGATGTCCGTGATATCGACAAGGATCGATTATTTTCATAAATTTGAAACAGTGCAGCGTCGCCTATACCCGCGCGTTCCATGAAATGGGTTCTCCCACCAGCAATATGAGCTGGATCACTAGTCGATAACACCTCGGATGTGTCAGAAGGGCGAGTGCAGTTGGAGGTGGGGAATAACGTTTACGATAGGTGTTAATTACGATATCTCCAACAAGAGTGCTCGAAAGTTTGATGAAAAAAAGGTTGGAAACATGTGAGAATATTACAAAGAATTTTTTGAGAGAGAAATTCATAGCGACGCAATGTTTGTGGGAAAGTGAGGGTTAAAATAATACATCGCATGACAGAACAAAGTACAGTTACATTTTTTAACGTTACGTGGGAGCAAAAATACCCAAATGGGAAAAAACTGAATGCTGATAGCTCATTATCTTCCAGTTCACCTAACAGAAAATTTAACGTGCACTGCTTGAACAGCTCGTTCGAATGACTCACGTCGTAAAGAGTTTAGAGTAACGAGTTGCTTTACATCGATGACCTTCAACCTCTCTCCAAGAGTTGCGAATTATTAAGCTTCACAACGCCGTGAGTATTATTTCCAAAACTAAACGGTGATGTCATTATTTCATGAGAGAGATTGTCCGGCTGTTTTTGCTACATGTGATCATCATATAACGATTTTAATATGTTTATGTTTGTTAGTCTAGTACTAGAATGGAAGACAAGCGTGAATAAACGAAAATGCTATATCTTTGGGGTTCTGGGTCTGCTTATTTTATCATACGAAATCAAAATTATTCGTTATTTACGTAGGTGTTTAATTACTTTAATATGTATATTTTTGATAGAGTTAAAGTCATAGGCACAAACTATCCCACTAATATATTCGTATGATTCCAAAGGAAATTTGGAAAAGCAAGATTCTACAAATTCTAACACTCAACTATCAATGAACGTGATGACCGTATTCTTGTGGCCCCTTTGGAAATATACGTTTCTTCTTGAACAGCGGGCTGAGTGAATCTTGGGCTGTTCTTGAAGGTTATCACAAGGAAAATCTCCGTCGCTAAGTCAGAACTTGAGCGTTCCCTTTTCCGCCCGAAAGCTGTTGCTTTATGTCTGTACTAAATGGCTGGTTCTAATTATTGAATCAATAGATACGGTTTTCACATTAATTTGTAACTTATAAATATCGATTGATTTGACTGATAAAATATTAATTTTTACATATTCAGACTTAGTGCGATTTTAGTCTTTCACTTTTTACAATTTAATTTTTTTATATTCCCATTTTTAATGAATTATATAAATTATTTTCATTAAGATGCTATATATAATTAAAACATGAGCTTCAGTGTAGGTAAAGCGACATAGTCGAGGTTAGGAATCAATAGCAAGGTACACGTTTGTCAATAAATTACATTTTTATTACTGGAGGAAACACATGCGTGCATACAATGTATGTGTACCAAGACGACATGCATTTTATGGTGCTTGCGTAATGCGTTTCGTAACTTTGCCTCGCTGTACACAGTCAAATAACCATAAAACCGGCTAGCAGAAAACAATTCGGGCGTCGGCGCGCTCGCGAGTACCTGTTGACGGCGGTGTGCCAGGCGACGGCCAGCAGCAAGTTGATGGCGATGTCGACGGGCACGATGTCCGACACGAGGTTCCGGTGGCAGTACATGGTGCGCAGCAGGCCCTTCCCGGCGCCGGCCAGCAGCCCCGTCGGCCCGTTCAGGTTGTCCACCCAGCCCGGCAGCGGCTCGCGCCACGACGCCGTCACTGCCGAAACGACAGGCCAGCGCGTGAAACGGGGCGCCAACAAAGGAGGAAGCAGGACGGAGTTCAGATGCACAAAGGATTAATTTAAGCATTTTCGTAGGGGGCCGTCCATAAATTCCGTAAGCTAAAGAGGGTAAGGCGGTTTGAGGCAGTGTTACGCTGTTACATAGGGGTAAGGGGGTATTGCATTAGTGATATGTAATATTGACTTCTTTTTACATTTTTTAACATTGGTTGAAATACTTGTCACTCTAAAATAAGAAAATATTATTTAATTAACTTGTTTTAAAACAAAATTTTGTTTTGATTTTAAGTTATTGGATATTGTTAATGAAAGAATGAAATGAAAACTTTTTTCCCGAACTATCATTAATTTTCACTTTTTGCATTTAAATAGGGGGTGGGGGTGGTTGCAAGCGTTACGTAACTATTATGGGGGTTCAATCGCACGTTACGGGTGCGTTACAGGGGAAGAAGGTACTCAAAATACGAAATGCGTTGCGCAAAATGCAAAATGCGTTACGCATACAAAATGCATTACGCAAAAAACTCCAATTTGCATTACATAATTTATGGACGGCCCCTAAAATAATGAACTTTGATAAATTGTGAGATTTAACATACGGAACAATGCAATCATTGTAATACTTGTATTTCTAATTCATATGTTTTTTAATGTTGTTTGAAAAATAGTTAAGCTGAATACGAACATGTTATAAAAACTGTAATGGAGCATACAATAATAATAATAATAATAATAATAATAATAATAATAATAATAATAACAATAACAATAACAATAATAAAGGTAAATAAAAATGCCAGCGGCTCTTTCGCAGCTTGGAAATAAACCTTATGTTCATTCGAGGCTTTTTTTTATCACCCCTACTTAGCTCGTGGACCTTTCACAGCTCTGTATAAGTTTATGTAAATTACTATATTATCGTCATTGCTATAGTGGTAGAGCATAGGCGATTAAAAGTTAGTTTCAGGAACAATTTGGGAGCTCATCCATACTTGTAAAAAGAATAACTTGTGGAATGTTGGTTAACATTTTATAAAATATGCAAGTGTATTTCAGATAAGAAATAATTAATTCAAGCTTTTAACTCAATACAACTCTCAGAAAGTGTAATTCATGCTACGTACACCTGTTTGTATTTCGTCATACACACAATGCTACTTTAAAAATGTGAACATTGCATTATTTGGTAAAAACAAAAACGACGAGTCTTAACGCGAAAGAATACAAGGAATTAAGACATTAAATGTCCAAACATTGTAAAAGATAAGGGAATCGTTTGGATACTGTTCCGAGTTTTATTTGAGTTTTCTCACGTATATATTTCTCGACATAGGCGTACTAAATATCATTCATGGATTGGGAATTCTAGATAAATCACTTCTTACTTCTTGATTCCCGAATGTATTTAAATACTTAATTAACTAGTGATATTTATTACAATAATTTTTGAATGAACACAGTAATAGCTTCCACACAAATAGGAATGCGCGGATGGTAATGTCAGGAATCCAACTCATATTATTGTGTTATTTTTTTGCATACATCAGCATAATGGATAAATTTATACCAAATTAATAAAAATAAATATTGTAGCTTTTGAATATTGTGCCAGAAACACATTACTTTTTGTTCTTTGTAATTTCGTAGTGTTATTTTAGAGAATCTTTGACTTTTTGATATTTCAATTTCTTTAATTCACTCCACTTTTCTGTAACTTTACTCTGACAAATAAAATATCACGAAACGACATTACTTCATTCCTCATTTCTGGACTCAAACTCTGTGGTAATATTTCTCTTTCTGTTAAATACTGAAATGTGGGAGAGAAACCGCTGTTGTTTGCTGGTGGTGTGGCTTGCCAACGCAATGTTGGAGATTCACTGCAAAACTGTTGACAATATTCCTTCATTTCCTGGCCACTCGTGCAACCTGTTTACTAGCTTGCAGTGTCAAATTCCCATGCAACAAGCAACTTCCCACAGTGGTCAAAGCCTGTCCCGAATAGTGGGAGTTGTGTATTGGAGCAACAGTTCCCTCAGTTTCAGTGTAAGAGCTTCGCAATGAGCAAGAAAGCATATGATCCGTTGTTAAGTTCGAAGCGATACTTTCCCTCGAGCCTTGCGTACGTACCATACATAACACAAATGTACGTAATGCTTAAACTGCTACTCTCTGACCTGTTTAAAAACCAAACAACTTCTGATCACATTTATTCTGGTTTACTCTCAGTAGTGATCACGGGAAATCCACCACATGCTGCAATGGAAGCTCGTGCCTTCAAAGGTTCCCTGATCTTACTCACTGTAATTTTTTGGGAAGATGTTTGAAAGATGTGAACCGCATCCTAATATGTGTGCCAACCTGGGGGACCATGCTTCAAAACCCAGAATTGCTGGGAATATTTCGCAGGTCATGACCTATTAAAGGCAATTCTCAGGTTCGCTCAGCCTCTTTTCCAAATTTACTTGCTTGATTCACAATAAATAGAGAACAAATGCTAATGAAATATGATGCATGCCACTGTAACTTCTCCACACTTTCGAAACAGTAAGTACGTATTTTACGTCACATAAAATTTGTTTAAAGGGGCCTGGAAGTGATGAGTAAATGCTGAAAAAAAGGAACAGGAATAATAAGTTTCTCTAATCTGCAGTACGTGTGATAAAAACAATAAGAATCACTTTATTTGAAGAATAATTTTGTTCATATGGATCGCCCCCCCCCACCCCAACGCACAAGGTAGCAATAGAAAACAAAACTTTTTTGATCACAGATTTGCCATTTCACGTGAAGTGCTGCACTGTCTCCAAGGTACAAAAGAAGTGACGAGAAAGCGTGGGTCCCTTGCGACCGGTGCTGGTGGTTGCTGGCGCGCAGCTGAAGCTCGACGCCTTCGGGAGAGAAACTTCCTCGGCGGCTGGCGACTTATCAAGTGCCCGCCCCGTGGTATGACACGATGATTCGGCAACATTTCACTACTCCTTGTCATTGCAAGTTGAATGCCGCAGCAGACTAGCCGAACTCTGCAGAATGTGCTGAACGAACTTTCATTTTAAATTAATTTTTAAATTATTGATGTAACATATTTGAGATATTGGCTGAAATTAACATATTTGTAGACATTTTAGAATACTAAATGTTATTAAAAATATCTCAAAGAACAATTTAATTTTTACGTCTATCGTAATTATCATCGTGAGATGTTTCTTGAATAATAAACTCCTAAGAAGCCTAATTAGAAGCGGAAATGATGCTATTGTTGCTACCTCGTTTAAGTAAAAATTTGCGTGATCAAATCACGCTTTTATTATCAAATAAAAGCCTCCGTAAATGAAACACACAGGCATAATAGGGTACATTACGGCGTGTTCATACTTTTTATGTTCGAAGCTTAGTAGATACACCGATCATATCAACTAGCTTTGCGTGTCTGAAATATGGCTTTATATTTTGGGGAAAATGACGTACCCAGACTTTTTTACACTACAGAAATCTGTACAAACAACTGTAGCAAATGCAAAAGCAAATGGCATTCACGTGGTCCTTGCATACTTTATTGAGATTAAAATATTTCTAATGCTTAATTGATTTATTTTCGAGTCGTACTCTATTCTCAAAATTGACTTACTCAAAAGTGGGCACATATTATAATACACATATTTAAAATTATAACTCAAAGTATAGTAATCATATTCACTAGGGGTCAAGATAACCAGCAAAGTACGAATATATAATACAATTCTGCCAGGGTTTTTCACTACACGTTGTCAGATAACATTAAATAATTAAAAACTATACGCAACCTCAAATAGATACATTTTGTTTTGTGCTTATTGCTTTTTATATAAATCGAGACTTTACTGAGCACTGACGTTTATATTAATTTTAAAACAATGATACTAATGCAAAAGTAATTTGCATTGTGTGATTCTAGAAGACTAAATATCTTCGCAAGATGTATTATAAGCAACTTCGCACTGACCACTTACATCGATCGTTTTTTGGCTAGTCTCCCTTGATCGAACAAGAAATGGCCGAGATAGTCCCTTGATGTGTTTCTCGTCAGTAAAACAGACTTCTTCCCCTTCCCAAACTGTCTCGTTTTCCCACCGGTTTGACGTGGAGACATTAAACTATCTCGTAATAGCGGCGACCGCGGCGCAAGAGGGTCGAAGGGGTTAAGAAGTGCACTCACCAATGGAGGGGCGTACGATGGCGGCGGGCAGGTTGCCGGCCTGCGACACCAGCACGTTCTCGGCCAGGGCCTTGGTGAACGTGTATGTGTTGGGGTGGTCGCCCAAGATTCTGGAAATATTACAGAACACTTCAGAATACAACAGTACCCAGATTAAATATTACCGTGTGTTTTATTTGTTATACTCAGAAATTTATACTTGCCCATTACAATGGTTAAAAATATCGTGTATTACTTATCAATGATTGAGTTAATTTTATTTTCGCTAAAAACAATAAGAATTTTGTTGGCTAGTAAAATGAGACAATATTGAGCTGCTGTTCATGTTTTTAGTTATGTGTAAATAGTTTACTTCTCTTTGACAAATAACCCTTTGTAAATTACTGATCGACTCAGATATGCGGTTGCTAGAGCAATAACACTTTTAGATATTTGATGAAAGTTGCTTGCTTTCGTTTGCATTGCAGGAATAAGTACAGCGCTTTGAAAGCGAATAGATTTTTCACTCCTGGAACAAATAAAGAAACCTCGTAGTCCCTTCCCTCCCATTGACACAACAGATGATAAACGTTACCACATTTTATTTTGCGTAAAACAAAATAAAAATACATATTTGTATTGTATTTTTGTGTTTTCGTAACTTAATTTCCAGGTGCTGAGAAAACCTACTGCAATAGGAATTGAAGAACACAGGAATGTTATGATGGAATAGTCTAGACTCGTGAAGGGTTTCCACGAAATTGGGATGGCAGACCAGTTCCATTTCACAAGATCTGCAACTGTCGGGTTGGCATCAGGGATGGACATCAGGGTTTGGCATCAGGCATGGTATTAGGAGTAGGCCAATCAGAGGTCGCCATCTAACATATTTAAGACGAAAAACGTGGAAGTTCGTAGTTTAAAACGGATATGGATTATCAGACGCGCTTGCAACTCGCAAGAAACATTATGCCTCAACATTTTTCAACATCGAGCATAACTAGGAAACGCGTCCTAGATCATTCAAATAATTTTTTGAGGACAGAAGTTGTGTTTCCTGTACCGTAATCTACAAAACGAGATCTTCATGACATCCCAATACACTTGTTTGTGGCTCCGTTACTCCGTTGCACAAATTGCCGGAAAAGTTAATAGATTGGTTTCAGTGTGAAGCCATCTTCGATCTTCCAGATACACAAGCTTTTCAAATAAATCTATCTCATTTACCCTCAGCAGTGCACTACACGCATGTTTACAAAAGTATTTTGTAATAAATTAAATTTTTGAATTTATTACTAACAAGTGCAGGAACAGGTAGTAACCCATTATTCTTAGCTGCTCGGCAGGTCCAGGAAATTTATTTGCGATTGAACCGATCCTGTCAAACACGTGTGCGATACACTTCCTGCATTGATAACACGAAGGTTGGGAGACAAGTCATGACCATTTTTAAAAGAAATGTTATCATATCACAAACTTCTTTACCTGTCGTATGAAATAAATGTTTTACTCTGGGTTCGCAAGAACAGATGGCTCTGAGTGTGCGTCTATTAGCGCAGAGTGCAATGTGAAATCGGTTGTTTGACTGCAGCCGCGCGAGATTAATAAAACCCGTTTCGAGTGGTAGCGCTCATATACCAGGATAGGATAGCCGTTCTCCATAGGAGCAATGACCAAGAATGCCTCAGGGAATTGGTGGAAGCTCCACGGAATAATGTCCTTCCGTGGCGGACAGTCGCGAGATGGGTAGGGGAATTTCTGCGAGGGCGCGCAGCGAATCAATGATGAGCAACGCACGTGACGCACTTTGAGTGTGCGCACCAATGTGGTCTGTGCAGTATTCGAGTAGCCGTCAACTCGGACCTTTGTAATCGGCATACAATGCTTTTGGAATGTTGTGAACTAGTATATGCTAAAATCCATTGGAACATGAAACCATTACTGACATTTCAAATACCTTAATAAATATGAGAAACAAATTTGGTGTGTGGTTAAATATCGATGAAGTAGTACTTGTTGAGCATCTTAGCATTTAGAACTTGTACCATAACTTGTCCATTCATGTGTATTACACACTTTCCATCCGTGCTTGCATTCTCACAAAAAGTATTAGTTGCCATGTCTTATGCCCCAACCCTAGTAGGAACGATGCTGTAATAAGTAAAGTTATTCACACATCAACATTTCATTATTTCATTAATTTTTGAAATATCGTATGTCCACACACCGAGGTGCGCACTATTGCGAGCCTATGTATTAAAAATAATACTAGAGGAATGCTAGAGGACGGCTGCCCTGATAGGTAGTTATCCCTGTTTTCCCCGACCAACACCAGGTGAATGCTGAGCAGAAGCATACCCCAACAAACGGGCCACAGACCGCATGCGATCTTTCCTTCCCAGTGACCTATCCTCACCCGTCACTTATATGCACTACTACCCTACCACTCATGTCGGGAGGACAGTTACGATCTTAGAGCAAGCCCCGGCTGAGGTGGTGCCTCGCTGGTGGGAGATACCTGGTTGGAGACCCCCCCGCACGTGTAGGTCGGCGTCGGATCTCGCGAACTAGCGGGGTAGACCACCACCAACTCCCATGATAAAAAACATGCACTACACTTACGGTGCTAAATGACATCAGCATTAGCGTTCTCGGAAAGAATCAGTGTGTCCAAGATAATTATATTCCACGAATATAAATGTATTATTATTTTTACTCGAGTTTTAATCTTCTTATGAGCAATATTTCAATGGGATTTTTTCTCATCTTTCTCATGAGAAAGGTGCTGGGGTCCACTCACTTGGGGGTGATGCCGTCGATGAGCTCGTCGTCCATCCACTCGATGCACTGCGCGATCTGCTCGGGGTCCGCGGGCGGCGCGTACACGCGCTCCTCCACCTCCGCCTGCGTGCAGTTGCAGTAGGCCGTGGACACGTGCACGAGCGCCTCCAGCTTGGCCATCCTGTGGCACAGCTGCACCAGCCGGCTGGTGCCCTGCACGTTCATGGCCACGGACAGCTTCAGCTTCTCGTCGAACTTGACGGTGGCGGCGGCGTGGAACACGACGGACACGCTCTCGGCCAGGATGCGCTGGTCCGTGGCGCCGATGCCCAGCTCGGGCTGCGTCAGGTCGCCCGCCACCGGCACCACTTTGTTGAGGGCGTCCGGCCGGTCGCGACGCAAGCCGTCGAACAGCTGCGCACCAACAAACAAAAAAGTCGCACGGTGGATGTTGGTGTGGGACACGAAGATGGCAAGTGAGAGCGTAGGCTTCCGCGGCCGGAGTCGGTATTTACTAGGCTGTCCGGGTGGCGCCGCGTCCAAGGCGAAGGTGCCGACGTTTCGGTCGCCATTCTGCGATCTTCCTCAGGGCGTAACGTCGGCTCCTTCGCCATGGACGTAATGCACTGGCGCATGGCATTACGCCCTGAGGAAGGTCGCAGATAGGCGACCGAAACTTGTAATCGCAATACAATGCGTTTTGGAATGTTTGTGCACACTAGTAATATGCTAAAATCCATTGGAAACATGAAACCATTACTGACATTTTCAAATACGTTAATAAATATGAGAAACAAATTTGGTGTGTGGTTAAATATCATGAAGTAGCACTTGTTGAGGCATCTTAAGCATTTAGAGACTTGTACCATACTTGTCCTTTCATGTATATTTACACATTTACATCGTGCGCGCTTCTCACAAAAGTATTAGTTGCTGTCTTATGCCCAACTCTCGTATGAACGATTACTGTAATAACTAATTTTTCACTAGTCAACATTTTATTTTCATTTGTTTTTGAAATTTCGTATTCCCATACACGAGGTGCGCACCATTGCGAGGCCTACGTATTAACAAATATACTTAGAGTGATACGCGCTATGAACTAACATACCCTGAACTTATTTAGCGGTGTATGTCTGAGGAATTCCTTCGGAGAAGTGATATCCGTTACGTGGAATGAGTGATCATGTATTCCGACCTTCGTTTGAGAATAAGGCCCTTAATGCTTACAATGGGATGTTTTTAAGTATTGACATCGAATTATTTCTCTATTCCCAATTTTCCTGTAACTTTTTATTGTTGATATGTTTATTGTATTTTAAGTTTTCTTTCTGTGAGAGGATACACTGTTATCACGAAGGACTATAAGAAAGAGAGTTAGCTCTGCTGCTGCCTGGGAGGCGAAGGTTAGCAAGACGCTGCCGCTAAGGTAGCATATCCTGTTTTCCCCGATCACACCAAGGTGAATGCTGAAGCAGAAGCAGTAACCCCAACCAAACGGGCCACAGACCGCAGTGCGATCTTTCCTTCCCATGCCTTCCTCACCCCCTCACTATATGCAACTTCTACCCTACGCACTCATGGTCGGGAGGACAGTTACGATTCTAGAGCATTCCCCGGCTGAAGGTGGTGCGTCGCTGTGGGATACCTGGTTGAACCCCCCCGCGACGTGTAGGTCGGCGTCGATCTCGCGAACTAAGCGGGGTTAGACCACCACCAAACTCCCATATAAAAACATGCCACTACATCTTTACGGTGCTAAATGGACATAGCATTAGCGTTCTGAAAAGAATCAGTGTGTCAGATAATTATATTTCCACGAATATTAAATGTATTATTATTTCTACTCGAAGTTTTAATCTCTTATGAGCAATATTTCCAAATGAGATTTTTCTTCATCTATTCTCATGAGAAAGTGTGCTGGGGTCACTCCTTGGGGGTGATTGCCGTCGATGAGCTGTCGTCCATCTCACTCGATGCACTGACGGCGATCTGCTCGCGGGTCGGCGGGGGCGCATACACGCGGCTCCTCACTCGCCTGCGTGCAGTTGCAGTAGGACCGGATGGACACGTGCAGAGCGCCTCCAGCTTTGGCCATCCTGTGGCACAGCCTGCCACAGCCGAGCTGATGCCCTGCACGTTCATGGCCACGGACAGCTTCAGCTTCTCGTCGAACTTGACGGGGCGCGGGCGTGGAACACGACGACACGCTCTCGGCCAGGATGCGCTGGTCCGTGGCGGCCGATGCCAATTCGGGTGCGTCCAGGTCGCCGCCACCGGCACCCTTGTTTGAGGCGTCCGGCGGTCGCGGACGCAGGCCGTCGGAACAGCTGCGCACCAACAAAAAAAGTCGCACGGTGGATGTTGGTCGTGGGAACACGAAGATGGCAAGTAGAGCGTAGGTTCCGCGGCCGGAGTCAGTATTTGTACTAGGCTGTCCGGTTGGCGCGCGTTCCAAGGCGAAGGTGCCGACGTTTCTGTCGGCCATTCTGCGCATCTTCCTTCAGGGCGTAACGTCGCACCTTCGCCATGGAACGTAATGCACTTGGGTCATGGCATTACGCCCTGAGGAAGGGTCGCAGATAGGCGACCGAAACGTCGGCAACCTTCGCCATGGACGCGGCGTCACCCCGGAAGCTTAGTAAATAGAAGATGGCATTCTACACGGAATTCTCGTAACTCGACTAGGGAATTATTCATTGTCGCCAATGATCACAATCCGTGACTAGTTGCGTATTTATGATACACCATCCTTAAACTGTGCAAGTATAGGATGAAAAACAAGGAAATGGAAAAAGGACACTCAGTAAGAATTCTGTGGGATTTCTTACAATAATTGACCTCGCTTGATTAGCCAAGATGGCCTATGCGTTTCATTGTTAATTTCTCACGTAGCTCTCCCTCCCCCGAGTTTTAAACCGACTCCTTCGAAGAAAATCGTCAAATTTGCCATTCTGCATATTATTTATTATTCATTATTATTATTATTATTATTATTATTATTATATTAATTATTATTATTAGTAACTTTTCTAATTTTATCGTTACACGCCGTTCTAAAGATGACCAATGATCTCCTGCTAAAATTTCAGCTTCTTCCATATACACTGTTGCACCATGTACTTACTAAATCTAACAATAGTTATATCCATATTACGTAGGAAGGGGCTTTTCTGGGGGTGTCTTATTTGAACAGAAGAATACATGAATGTATCACAGGGCGTGTATTAGGTTGTGAGTTCTTATACATGGCTATATATATATATATATATATATATATATATAATATATATTATATATAGTTATATATATATTATAATATATATCTA